TCTCGAACCCGCGGGCTCAGGCAGTCCACTCACCTCGGCCTCCCAAAGGCACGGGATTACAGGCTGAGCCACCGAGCCCGGCTGCCACTAGCTTTTTAATAAACCTCTTTCCTGACTAATTATGTTTTCTCTGATATTTCCAGCTCTGGATGGATCCCAGATGGGCGTGGTCAATGGGTAAAAGATGAAAATGTTGAGTTTGACTCTGATGAGGAGGAACCCCCTGACCTCCCCTTGGACTGACACCCTCCTTCCCCATGCATTCACAAATAAACTACTATCGGTGCTGGCAACCTAACTTTCCTCAAGTCTGGTTCTTTGTCTGATCTCAGGATTTCAGATCTGTTCATTCTCAGCCTGGACACTCCTTCCCTACAATGTACACGGCTCCCCATACTTCTAACCCCTCCCCCACCTTCTACCAAGCATCATGCCAAGCGTCAGCTGCATGCAGCCCGGTGCCCTATTAATAAGTCTGTCAAAAAGAGGTCTTTGCCCTTCACGTTGTCTGCCTCCTTCCCCACCACCACTCAAAGTCCTTTCCCCTTCAAATCACATGAGGGCTGTAGGCAGGAACTTGGGGCGCCTGGCCACATCTGACAACAGGGCTGAGGCTAAGTACTCTGAAAGCAGGAGACTAAAGGCATTGGTAGGGCCATGGGGAACACCAGAGGAGGGAGCTCCCCCACCTCCCAGTAACCTGAACCTCCCTGCCTGCTGATCCCCAGAGTATAAATAATCCCTTGATGAACTGGCAGTAAACCTTGGGGGTTAGCGCCAAGATTCCCACCCCAAAGCCCAAGGAAGGAGGCAAACAGGGTGGACAGAAGGGCTTTTATTTACAGGAAAAGGGCACAGATGAGGATTTACGTGTCCAGTGCTCCCAGCTCTAGTTGGTAAAGGGAGAGGCAATGTTAACTCTTCTTTTGCTGGCGGCCTATAAGGGAGAAAGAGTAAATATAAGTCCTGGTTCCAGCTCTTGCTTTCTGCAAAGGCAATCTTCTCCTTTCCAGTTCCTTAGCCAGACTCATAAAGTGGTAGTGTCTTAGGTCACCACAAATAAAAATACCATACCTCCAGGTTATTATTATATCTAGCTTCCTTTCCACCTCTCTGCTGGTATATAGAAGGGGGGACCCAACAAAAGCCAGAATCAACTTTTGGAGGATGGGCACCTTGAGTACACTTCCCCTGTTAGGTAAGTGTTCTAGGAACTCATCAGCATTGTTGTCAGCTTCAGTGAATTTTTTTTTTGGAGACTGTTTCAATGCATTTGTCCACTCATGATGGGTGATTTACGAGTGCACTTGCCCATACAGTGCTGAGGATTCAGTTTTTGACAAAAACAGTATGACTCTCGTGCCCTACCCTCCTTACTCACCCAATCTCACCCTGAGAGACTTTTTGTTTCCTCTGGATGAAAGAAGTCCCAATGTGGAAGAGGGAAAACAAAAAACAGAATTGTTTCTTTTGCCTGTGGAAGCTCTGGCAAGTCACCCTGTCTTTTCTCTAATAAACTTTGTTGGAGAATTTTTAAAAAGAAAAAAAAAACCAGCAGAAGCAGTGAGATACATCAAAATCGATGAGTTCAAAAACTGTTTTGAACAGTGGAAAAAATGTCTCAATAGGTGTACTCTCATTGAAGAGTACTTTGAAGGTAACTGAAGTCTAAACGTGTAAGAATAAGGGCACAATATTTTATAAATAAATTCTGGGGTTTTTTGGGTCCCCTCATATTTGGGAGGGACAGGAGGACTTTTTTTTTACCAGCTTTCTGATCACTCATGGGATTTGAACCTCTTGTGAGAGTATCTCTGTGGTAGCACCCCAGGCTGCTTGTCACTAAGTCTGCTTTCAGGAGGCTCCACTGGATTCTACACTTCCTTGCCCTCTCCACATACCATTCTGTAGTTACTCACGTAGTTCATTGTTCCGGGTCATGGCCTGGGCTGCCCGAGCTCGTGGCCCCTGCTGCGTAAAGTGGTAGCCAAAGCGGACAATGGAGGGACACTGCTCTAGCACAGTGGCCATCTCCATCTCCACTGCATCACCAGGCCAATGGCGCTGGGGGAAGGAGAGAAGAAAGCTATCAGCCACCCTCTCTGGGGTGTTCACCATCCAAGACCACCAACCCCTTTGAAAGTCAAACAGGCTTGTGACTCCAGAGTGGGTGAAGAGAGATACTAACTTGGCTCCCCTCAGAGATGATGAAGAGGAGAAGTCAAACAAGATTAAATGAGATAGCTGCCCAGTGGCAGGCTCAGGGAGGAGGCTCAATGAGTATTAGTGGAATGCTAAGACCAGGGGAAGGGCACGCTGACCTGGTTGTCTACACGGAGCTCAGTGAGAGTACTGTTTTCCCGAACTGCCTTCAGCACTGCCATGAGCCCTGTGCTGCTGATGAAGTTGGATTCGATGTTCAGACTCTGGAGGCTATGATTCTCACGCAACATGTCAGCCACCGCCTGGGTAGTAGGGACTTGAGTTAGGATTAGGGGACAGTTTCACAGATGACTGAGGAGAGAAACAGGAGCAAGAGGGAAACATAGCTCTTTGAGAAGTCCTTGAGGAGCTATAAGTGGGGCTAGAGGGAAACAGGAAGGAGGGTGGAGAACAGGGGAAAGCAGAGAGATTAAGTGTGCAGTGGAGCGGGAGCTGGGGGTTGTTACGGTTGCCGCCCTTTGGGATTTTTTTTTCTTTTTTGACTTGGAGTCTCACTCTGTTGTCCAGGCTGGAGTGCAGTGGTACGCTCATGGCCACCGCAGCCTCTACTTGCTGGCCTCGGATGATCCTTCTGCTTCAGCCTTCCAAGCAGCTGGAACTACAGATGCATGCCAGCAAGTCTGGCTAATTTTTGTGATTTATTGTAGAGACAAGGTCTCACCAAGTTGCCCAGGCTGGCCTTGAACTCCCGGGCTCAGGCAATCCTCTCGCCTCAGCCTCTCTAAGTGCTGAGCCACCATGCCTGGCTGCTCTTTGGGATTTGATTTTGGGGCTTCAGAGTTGTGAGTTGTAGGACTGAGGGCAGGAGTCTCCATGAGGACTGTATTAAGAAAGCATGATGGGAGCCAGGCGTGGTGGCTCAAGCATGTAATCCCAGCACTTTGGGAGGCCAAAGCTAAAGGACTGCCAGAGACCAGGGATTTGAGACCAACCTGGGCAACTTACCGAGATCGCATATCTACAATAAATCAAAAAATTAGCTGGGCGTGGTGGCGCACACCTACAGTTCCAACTACTTGGAAAGTTAAAGTGGAAGAATCGCCTGAGCTCAGCAGGTTGAGGCCGGGGTGGCCATGAGCATGTCACTGCACTCTAGCCTGGGCGACAGAATAAGACTCCAGCTCAAAAAAAAAGAAAAAGAAAGCATGATGGGAATAGTACCCCCAGCACAACCCTTTATGAAATTCCTGTCAGAGGAGCTCATAAGGTGTGGGGAGAGGGCTGGGGATGTCAACTAGCTTACATTGGCAATGGGGTCACCACTCCTAGTGGCCACCAGACTGAAGTTCCGAACGTTGGTGTTTGTCTTCAGTGCCTCACACAGCTCAGTTAGCACGGCTATCGGGATGTCCTAACAGAGGGGAATAGGAGATAGTGGGCTAAGGGGCTCGTGTTAGCAGAGTGACCCTGGTGTTACTGTTTGGAGGATGGGAGTCAAATACCTGTATATTATTGAGGTTCACCTCCTCCAGCTCCTTGTCATTGCTTCGAACCCTCTTTAATATCTCCTCAATGTTTGTGGGATTTGGGGGCTCATCTGGCACTGGCTTGTACTTGTCAGGCTGTACCACACCTGGTGGGCAAGGGCAGGAAAGGGAACCCCAACATGTCCCCCATAATCTCCTCCTCATTGGCTCTCATCACTCATACAACATGCCCTCTCCCGGATTCAACTGTTTTACCCCTGGCTAACTTGCCCCAGACTCCGGGACTGCCTGCCCAGAGCACTGGGGATCATGCACGCCAAGCACACTCACTGCTAATGCCTTCGGTGTTGCAGATTTCTCCGCTGCAGAGGGCATCATAGTACTGCTTGTTGCTCATCAGTGTGTACATGCCCAGAATTGCTGCAGAGGGTAAGCAGAGGGGGCACACAGAATGAGGAGAAGGATCTGTTTCGAGTTCCCTGCTACCTCATTTGGAATCAGCTGCATTTTAAAAGCCTGATACCTTCCACTCTTCCAAAGATGTTTCTCCCCTTCCCTCCGCACCAGGGGTTTCTTCCATAAACTGCCCAAGGCAGCAGTTTCTAAAACATGAAGAGGAGGCTAGGTGGCTCAGCCTGTAATCCCAGAACTTTGGGAGGCCAAGGTGAGAGGATTGCCTGAGTCCACAGGTTTGAGACCAGCCTGGGCAACTTGGCGAGACCTAACCTCTACAACAAATAAAAAAATTAGCCCGGTGTGTGGCAGTGCATGCCTGTAGTTCCAGCTACTTGGGAGGCTGAGGTGGAAGGATCGCCTGAGCCCAGCAGGTCGAGGCTGTGGTGGCTGGGAGCATGCCACTGCACTCCAACCTGGGCGACAGGAGATTCCAACTCAAAAAAAGAAACATGAAGAGAAGGCTAAGGAAAGGTCCCTAAATAGCCACTAGAGAGTGAGGAGTCTGCAGAGAACCATGCCTGACTTCAATCAGAATAGTTCCACTTTTATTTGCTCTTAAAATTCCTATAAAATTGCTTGAGATATTAGCTTATTAAGTTTTAAATATGAATGAATATATAAACAAAAAACTTAAACCACTGCCTAATCAGACATCCATGTTCTGGTTCAGGGCCTTCCTCGCTAGTCCCATGTCATGGCTAGGATCCCCTGCCCTGATCCTTCCACCTCCTCAGCTTCCCACAGCTGCCCACCTGCAATATCACACATTTCTGCATCTGTGGCATGCGCCAGTGCCTCCTCCAGCTCAGGCTCCAGGGTGATCTGTTCCTCTGCTGGGATTTCCCTCTTGGGCTGAATATAGGGTTTCCCTGATGGGGAGATGAAGGATGGTTCAGGTAGAGGTCATTTCTCCCAAGATCCTGACCTCCAGCTTCCTTTCCTTCTCCAGGAGGTAGAATTCTGGGTCACTAGGGAACACTGGAAAGCCTGAGTCCTCTATAAGCTCAGGACTCCAGGGTCCTCTGATCTCTTATAAGAACTGTAGTGCATGCTAGGTACATTGGCTCACACCCGTAATCCCAGCAGTTTAGGAGGTGGAGGCGAGAGGGTTGCCTGAGTCCATGGATTTGAGACCAGCCTGTGCAACATGGTGAGACATCTCTACAATAAATCAAAAAATTAGCTGGGTGTGGTGGCGCACACCTGTGGTTCCAGCTACTTGGAAGGCTGAGACAGAAGGATTGCCAGATCCCAGCAGGTCAAGGCTGCAGTGGCTGTGAGCAGTGTGCCACTACACTCCAGCCTGGGTTACAGAGTAAGACTCTGACTCAAGAAAAAAAAAAGAGTGCAAGTGGCCTGTGTCAGGGTACTTGAGTTCCTGGGCAGCTAGGAGCTGGAAGGTGAGAGGGAAACTGGAGGGGGAACATTTGAGACAGTCACTTGGGTTCTATGAGGCATGGATGTCAGGATCTCCATACCCTTCTTCTCGCCTGTGAAGGGCACCAAGTCATCACGCTCTTTGACTTCTAGTGCCTGCTGCTCCAGGTACTGCAAAAGGGCATCTCTGTCCAGTGGCCCCGTTGGACTCTTCTTTGTCTGGTCACGTTGTCTTAGTCCAGCTGGCAGGAGCATGTTCTTAGGGATGAGTTTTGGGGAGCAAGTCAGACCTCACCTCTGACCTGGGGTGCCTCTAGGGCTCCCTAAAATATCTCTAAGTCGGGTGGCTTGTGCCTATAATTAATTATGGCACTTTGAGAGGCCAGGGTGAGAGGATTGCCTGATTTGTATATTTATATACACACACACACACACACACACATACACACACACACACACACACACACACACACACACCCCTTTTCCTTGGCCTTCTTGGAACTCCAGGTCCTGTAGATATCCCTGGTCTCAGTCAGCCCAACGCCTTTCCCAAATGCCTGGGACTACCCCGGCTCTGCGTGCTGGAGCCCCTACCTCAGGGTCCATCTCCTGTAGCTCGCCATCCAGCTGCTCTAGCTCCTCAGGGCTCAGGGTCCTTAGGATCTCATCTTCATCTATGTCTCTGTATTTCTCCAGTTCCTTCTGATATGATGACATGGCGGCCCCCACCCCCTCCCCACTGTGTGGCACTCACAGAGCCTGTAGAACACAGGAAAAGTGGTTGGACAATGAAAAGATGGACATGGACACAGCAGGGACACAGACTAGCCAGGGGGCAGAACATGGAATGGAGAATCTTGAATGGGAAGATGGGAGAAGGTTAGATTGTTTAGAGTTAAAACTAGTGGCTCATGCTTATAATCCTAGTAGTCTGAGAGGCGAGAGGACTGTTTGAGCCCAGCCTGGGCAACATAGTGAGACCTCTACAAAATATCAAGTTAGCCAGGTGTGGTGCTATGCACCTGTAGTCCCAGCTACTCGGGAGGTTGAGGTGGAAGGATCGCCTGAGCCCAGGAGGTCAAGGATACAGTGAGCCATGATCATGCCACAGCACTCCAGCCTGAGCAAGACCCCAAGTCAAAAAAAAGTCTCCTTCTTCCTGCTTCCCCAGCTTCTACCAATCTGGATGGGGATCCTAGGCATCCAAGGTGGGTCTGTCTTCCCACTGTGTGATAGAGAAATCCCAGTGGCACTCCTCTATAACCTCACCCGTCAGTGCCTCACACCCTAGCACAGCTGCTGGAAGCTCTGCCAGCACAGCTGGCCCCATGCCCGGTTCCTATTGAAAGGAGGCAGGGGAGATACACAGAGCTTTGGGAAATTCCTCCACTCTTCCCCATAATCCAGACTGTTTCCTAAACTGGTTACAGAAAGCAAGGAAAACTGGAAGTGGGGGAGTGTGAAGAGATAGGTTCATACCCCACTCTCACATCCTCTTTCATTGTGTGGGATCACAGCTTCACCATCTATGTTTGCCAAAAGTCTAAATCCTTGGGGAAAGCAAGGCTTAGAGAAGCTGGGGGACTTCCAGGAGGGAGAAGGATAGTAAGGCCTCAGGAGAAAAGGACTGAGTTCCCATGAGTTGTCCCTGGCTTTGGATAGGAAGGTGACACCAGACCAATGAATGTAAATGGGGTAAAGTTTCTTTAAAAACAGTGAGAAGATTAAATTTGCAAAATCCTTTACAGTATAAAAGACACAAGCTATACATACACATCATACTGAATATGAAAGATTCAGAAAATGTGTGAGACACTTACATTGACAATGTAAACCATACACAGTTAAGCAATAAGACGCATAGTGGCAGAAACACACAGAGCGGCAGAGACGGGGACACACTCCACATCATTCTCCCATCTCCCACCAGGCTCTCATCCGTAAGCCCCCTGCCTTCCCCACCTACCAGTCCTGGTGGCCACCTCCCTTCTCACCTCCCCTCTGTCGGTTGGTCTGTCTGTTCTACTGGAGCACTGTCCTGGCAGCAGGAGGAGCCCAGTGCCGGGGGAGAGGGTGGGGGAACAGTGAGCTCAGCATTTTATTATTTTAGCTCTGGCCAGGTGGGGGGTAGTGGGAGATCACATATACACAGCCCCCATACCCTGCCCAGCCCTGAGAGCCTCTAGTGGCCATCAACAGCCATGGCACCTCCTCCCCTTCTCTTCATACCAGGCCGTCCTAGACGCTGGAGTCTTAGAATCACATAGTTCCTACTTATTTGATGCCTGCTATATTCAAAGCAGAGAATATAAAGTGATCTAAAGCTCAATATAGGAATTTCATTTTGGTGTCTAATACTTATATACATTTTTTTGAGTTGGAGTCTCACTCTTGTTGCCCAGGCTGGAGTGCAGTGGCATGCTCAAAGCCATCGCAGCCTTGACCTGCTGGATTTAGGCAATCCTTCCAAGTAGCTGGAACTAGACGTATGTCACCACACCCAGCTAATTTTTGTGATTTATTGTAGAGACAAGTCTCACCAAGTTGCCCAGGCTGGTCTTGAATCCCTGGGTTCAGGCAATCTTCTCGTATTGGCCTCCTAAAGTGCTGGGATTATAGGCTGAGCCACTGCACCCAGCCTTGATGTCTAATTTTAAGGTGTTTATAATCTAGTTATGAGAAATGAATAATTTAAAACTAAAAAAAGACAGCTTATAATAAATTCTATCAACTTGCCTGGGCAACACAGTGAGAACTCATCTCTACAAAAAATGAAAAATTAGTCATGCGTGGTGGTGTGCACCTATACTCCCAGCTACTTGAGAGGCTGAGGCAAGAGGACTGCCTGGGCCCAGGAGTTCAAGGTTACAGTGAGCCACAATTAAGCCACTGTACTCTAGTCTAGGCGACAGAGGGAGACCCTTTTTCAAAAATAATAATAGCAGTCATAAAAAAGAATAAAATCATGTTTTGCAGCAACATGGATGGTACAGGAGGTCATCATCCTAAGAAAACTAATTCAGAAACAGAAAATTAAATACCACATGTTCTCACTCATATGTGAGAGCTAAACAGTCACACTGGGAAATAATAGACACTGGGAACATCAATAAGGGGGAAAGGGGAAGAAGAGTTAAAGCTCAGAAACTACCCATGAGGCACAATGTTCACTATCTGGGGAATGGGCCAACTGAAACCCAATCCTGCCACTGAACAATATGTCCATGTAGCAAATATGCATATGTACCCTTGAACCTAAAATAAAATTTAAAAAATAATAGGGCTGGGCACACTGACTCATGCCTATAATCCCAGCACTGTGGGAAGCCGAAGTGAGAGGATAGCCTGAACCGACCGGTTCGAGATCAGCCTGGGCAATTTGGCAAGACATCATCTCTACAATAAATCAAAAAATTAGCTGGGCATGGTTGCAAGTGCCTATAGTTCCAGTTACTAGGAAGGCTGAGGCGGAAGGATTGCATGGGCCCAGCAGGTTGAGGCTGCGGTGGCCATGAGCATACCACTGCACTCCAACTCAATAGAGAGACTCCAACTCAAAATATAAATAAAAAGTAAATAATAAAAATAACAACAAAAAATGCTATCAAGTAAATAGAGACCCATATGTACTCAGATATTCACAAAAACCTCTTGCTCCCATCCCTAGATTGGACACCAGACAAAAAGGATTGTTCTATTTTATTAGATTAAGAACACAAAGAAACCAGTAGGAACGAGGAGAAAACATGAGAAAAGAAATAGCAAAAGGGGCCAGGCACAGTGGCTCGTGCCTGTAATCCCAGCACTTTGAGAGGTGGAGGCGAGAGGACTACCTGAGTTCAGGGGTTCAAGACAAGTCTGGGCAACCTGGCGGGACCTCATCTCTACAATAAATCAAAAACTTAGCTGGCATGGTGGCGCGCGCTTATGGTTCCAGCTACTTGGAAGGCTGAGGTGGAAGGAAAGTCTGAGTTCAGCACGTTGAGGCTGCGGTGGCCATGAGTGTGCCACTGCACTCCCGCCTGGGTGATGAGTGAGACTCTAACTCCCCCCAAAAAAACAAAAAAAAAGAAATAGAGAAAAGGGTTGCGCAAAGATTAGAGATGACCAAGGAGAGATGCAGGGGGAGAAGAGGGAACATCAAAAGCCCCAAGTCAGGGCAGGAAAGAAGTTTCTAAGGACTAGACATCACTTCATTTAATGACAATTTTCTGGCGCAAAGCTCGAGGCCCAGAGCCAGGGAGGGGTTCAGGAGGTGGAGGACCAGGGCCCAGGGCTGAGGCAGTAGGCGGCAGTCCGTGAGCAGTAATGTACTTCTTGTAGGCCTCACGGATGATCTTGAAGGCTCGAGCAGTGGCGTAGGGTATGTCTGTAACAGGGTCCCGGTATAGGGCTGGACGATGGGTCACTGGGCAGACTTCCCGAACAGGGATCTTTGGGGGCCGCCCTTGGGGAAACCATTCCTCAAATGTTGCATCATCACTAAAAGTGATGAAGGTACGTGAGCAGCGAGCAGGGGGAACAACGGGTCCAGTCCCAGCATGGGGAGTCAGTGTAGAAGCCGTGGGAGCAGGATCAAGTCTGAGGGCAAAAGACAGAAAAACACAAAGAGCTGAGGAGAAAAGATAGCAGATACAGGAAGAAAGAAATTGGAAAGATGAGGAAAGAGAAAAAGGAGACAGAGTGGTGGGAATATTCTGAGAGAACCCAGGTGACAGACAGGAGAAAGGAAAGCGGGGGTAGAAGGAAAAACAGAAAGAGAGGGAGAAGAGAGGCAAAAAGAAACAGGAGTAAGACAGAAAGAAATGAGCTGAAGGGAGGAAGGGCTCAGAAAGAAATCCAAGTGCTGGGGAGAGCTGTGTGAGGAAAGCAGGTGAAAAGGGTCAGGAGGACAAAAGCTGAACACAGAATCTCTCCTCCCTATGGGAATCACTCACCCTTCTACATCAACATTCTCTTCCTTGGGGCCTGGCTCCCCAACAAGCGGTACTGTCACTGAATGAAAGGTGATGATGGGTCCGGGGCACTTCCGCTTCTTGTGAACCTGCTTCTTTTTGTCAGCCTCGAGCCGCTCATATGTCTCTTCATGGCCAAAGGAAGGAAGGAGGGGATGGTCAGAATTTTCCTTTTTCCCACATCCCAGTTCTGTTCCTGATTTCTCATTATCTCCCTGGCCATCTAGTCACTGCCAACGACCAAGCCAACTATGGAAGACCCTAAGGCTCCATGGCACCTCCTACTTCAAAAGTTTTCTGCATGCCCCTCTTGACATCCTCTCTGCTTCTCATTTCTCAAGTACACTTGGGCCCTCACCCACCATGAACTGCGGTAACTCAGACTTGAAAGAGGCACCTTGGTAAAGAGCTTGTTCATTTCCCCAGATACCAGAATCTCCTCTACAGTTGCCCTATCAACTCGCTCCCATCCAAAACAGCACCTTAAATCATTAGAGTTCTTTTCAATGTCAAGCTGATACCTACTTCCTGGTGATAGTTTTAGTTTTTAAGCCCATAAAGTACAAAAATCGAAGCTGGCTTCTACTTGACAGTTCTTTAAACAGTCAAAATGAGAGTCCATGTCGCTTTCTACTAAGTTTTCCCTAGACTGATCACAACACCCATTCCACTAAACCATTCCTCATACAACATGGTTTTGAGTTACTTACTCAGTTTTGCCACCCCTGTGCTTAGTATACTTATTACTGTATTTATAGTTTATGGCAGAGGTTATAAGCTGGCATCACACTTAAATGTTTGTTTGATATGAATAGTGGTTTAAAGAAAAATTTAATTAGTTACTAACATTTAGGAATTAGAAAATTACAATTAGCCCGGCTCGGTGGCTCAGCCTATAATCCCGCACCTTTGGGAGGCTGAGGTGAGTAGTTTGCCTGAGCCCATGGGTTCAAGACCCGCTTGGGCAGGCGAGACCTCATCTCTACAGTAAATCAAAAAATTAGCCGGGCGTGGTAGTGCACGCCTG